CACACTTGGACAATTTTGCATACAGCTTGTGCTCTCTCAACACACTCAAAACCAATTGCAAATGTCTAGCATGCTCCTCCTGAGTCCGTGAATAAACCAAGATGTCATCGATGAACACTACTACGAACTGGTCCAAGTATGGTCGGAACACACTGTTCATAAGCTCCATGAACACTGCCGGGGCATTAGTCAATCCGAAAGGCATGACTGAGAACTCATAATGCCCATAGCGTGTTCTAAAAGCAGTCTTCGGAATGTCTTCACTCTTAACGGGAATCTGATGGTATCCAGAACGCAGATCGATCTTCGAGAATACCGTAGCCCCTCTGAGCTGGTCGAACAGGTCGTCGATGCGAGGCAACGGATAACGATTCTTCACTGTGGCTTTGTTCAACTGCCTGTAGTCGATGCAAAGTCTCATGGATCCATCCTTCTTTCGAACAAATAACACCAGTGCTCCCCATGGGGAAACGCTAGGTCGGATGAATCCCTTTTCCAGTAGCTCTTGCAACTGAGCCTTCAACTCCTTCATCTCGGCAGGTGCTATACGATACGGTGTAGCAGATATGGGTTCCGTACCCGGAATGAGATTGATCGAGAACTCTACCTCTCTCGGCGGAGGCAAACCAGGTAGGTCTTCGGGAAAGACATTGGGGAAGTCGCAAACCGTACGGATGTCCTGCTGACGCGGTGATTCTTTTCGCATATCCTGAACGTGACACAGGAACATCTCGCACTTCTTGCGAATCAAGCGCCTCGCGCTCAAGGACGATATGAACTCGGGAGCCTTGGGGAACACCTCCCCGGAGAGTGATACGTCGCTACCGTCCTCGGCTCTCAGCCGTACGGTCTGACAACTGCAGTCGACCACTGCTCTATGCTCGGTGAGCCAATCCATACCAAGGATAATGTCAAACTTCTTGTGTGGTAGCTCTATCAAATCTACAGGGAATTGCTTCCCTTGCACGGACAACGGACACCTATGATAGATGTGATGAAGACGCATGCTATGTCCTAACGGATTCGATACAACGGTAGGTATCTCAAGGTCACTCCTCACGATCGCAGAATTAGCAGGCATGCCAACACATATATAGGAGAGCGTGGAACCCGGATCGATCAAGGCATGCATAACCGAATCAAATAGTATGAACGTACTAAAGATAACATTGGGACTAGGATCTGTGCGCCCCTGCATGGCGTAGGTACGCACTGGTGCCCGACCTGACTGCTGCGGACGTGGTCTCTACTGATTATTCGCTGCTGTAGACTGCTGACTCCGTGCTGGATGTGATGTGGCAGGCTGATCCGGAGCTCTAGGAAAAACAGGCTCGCTGCTAGGGTTTGTCGGGCAATGCCTCCTAAAATGCCCTGGCTGACCACAACCCAAACATAAGCCTTGGGCGAGCCAACACTCGCCCGGGTGATGCCTACCACACTGTACACACTGCGGGTGGCTCCTCGTTCTGATCGAGTTGCTAGCGGCGGCCGACGGAGACGGCTTCGACTTACTCCTCTTAGGCGGCGGCGCACTCGAAGAACCCTTCTCGTACCTCTTTCCCCCGAATCCAAAACTCTTCCCGCTCGGCCCGGTGCTGGCCGCGGGTCGCGGGTCTTTCGTCGCTCGATCCTCCTTCTTGGTTGCCAGCAAATCGTCCAAGCTCTTTTCCGTCTTCACAATCAAATCATACGCCGCATTAAAATCTGTCGTCGTGATCAGCGCTGCGTACGGCCTCAAGTCCGGCCGTAGCTTCTTGACGAACTCATTCAAACGATCCTCCGGAGTAGAGACCAGACTCGTCGCATACTGGGACAGGTAGTCGAACTTCTGTCTCAGTTCAGGCAGTGACATCCCCTCCTGCTTAAGCGCAACGAACTCATCGCGCCTCTCCTCGCGGTACCGGGTGGGGACGTACTCCTTTGTGAAGGCTCGATCAAAGCGATCCCAGGTCCATGGCTTGGGCGTGTGTGGATCCTGGTCAATGCGCTTCCACCAATCATATGCTCCCTTCCGGAACATCTGTGACGCCAACTCCGAGCGATCAGCATCTGGGACTCTCAAATTCTTGAGTACCCGGTCCATCTGCTCAAGCCAATCCAATGCAATCTAGGGCTCCCCTATATTGTCTCCTCGAAACTCTTCCGCTCCATTATCCTTCAACGTCTTGAAGGTAACGATGCGCGGCTGCGGCTGTGGTGGTGGCGGTGGCTGGAACATGGGCATAAGCTGCGCCATGTGCTGCATATAATGGGCCATCATGGCCGGGAACATCTGCCCGTAGGCCACCTGCGGCATCA